TGATGTTGATGATGATGATTTCAAGCAAAGGATTTGTTCCAAACAAAAGAGACTTTTTCATTCTTTTTTTTTGGTCGATCCATTCATGATGATGATGATGATGATGATTATAAGACAGTTTTCTTGGTCGTTGGACGGCAATGATGATGATGATGATGATGATGATAGTGCTAATGTTCATTGATAATAATCATTATTATCATCATCATCATCATCAATTGATTGTGTCACCCACTGGTTTTTGGTCTTCTTCTTCNTTTAATGAGATGAACAAACTCAAATTCCAGTTTTAAGAAAATTGATTACGAAAAATTCAATTGAGATTTTCGTTATCACTCAATTTGATTTCATGAATCCAATCAAGATAATCTTTCAGGTCCTCCGATTTTGTTAATAATCCAAAGATTTAATTGCAATGCAAATCAGGTTGATCATCAAAAATAATAATTTGAGATTAAATATTAAATCATTCATTCTTATAATTATTGAAAAATCGTTCAACATTAATTAAATCCGGTGTTTTGAAAATGAATGGGAATTGTTTATAGTTCCCGAGTACATCAAAACAATCGTTTGATACTTTTAAAGTGAAAATCGCACAATCGAATGCATACAACATCATCATCATCAGTGGTAGAGGCATCCAAAAATTTTTTGCATGTGCCGCTACTTCAGAAAATGGGGGAAAAAAAGGGGGTCATTTTTCTCAGTGTGCAGTGAGCGTAATCAATTTCATTCGAAAAAAAATTCATTCGGAAGTCCTATTCAACAATGACGTTACACAAATGATAAAAAAACGTTCGAAAGAATTTATTGATGGCCAATCATATATGATATTCTCATCTCTTTTTTTTCGGTCCATAAAATCATTTGTTGTTGTTGTTGAAACAAATTTTTTCTTTTGACAAAAATGACGACGACGACGACGACGACGATCATAATCATCAACAACAAAAGAATCGAGAAAAATTGCAACAACAATAGAAAACAACAACAACAACGTGATTTATGCTGCTTTAACGATAAAGACGACGAAAAGAAAATACAATAATGGCAATGATTGAACAAAGTGTTTCCAAATGCTGATGTTGATGATGATGATGATAATGATGAAAATAAGATAGGAATTAAAACGACAACAATATTTTCTATGTTTTTTTACGATCTTCTTTTTTTTCGCGAAAGAATTCAATTCAATTGAATAAAAAATTCTATCGCGTCACTCGCTATATCTTCGGACATTGTTAATGATGATGATGTAAATCTTCAAATGGTATAATCATCATCATTATCATCCTAAACAACAACAACATTGATGGTGGTAAGTTTTCTGTTTTCTGTTTAATTTAATTTAAATAAACAAGCCCACAATATCAATGTTTTCTATCTATCTATGTCACTAATTTTATCTATTTCTATATAGTGAGCCTTTTTATACCATTATCATCATCATCCAGACAAGAAGAAGAAAGAAGAAATTAAGGAAATGAATCTTTTTAATGAAAACTTAAATCTGTCTACAAGTATGTTTAATGTTGTTATTGTAATTAGATTAACAATTTAAATTTTTGTTTT